GGGGGGAGTGGGAATTTCGGAGATTGCTCATTCATGGGGTCTCCATAATTCTGGATACATCACATTTTTATTACTGAACAAAGGAGCCACTTTCCAGCGTTCCACTAAAGTTGCACTGGATATATATATATATATTTAAAAATCCTTATAAAAATCGACTGCATTCACATTTATAATGCTCCCTCTCTCCCCCCCACCCCTTTTGCACCATCTGTCAGTTAAAAATCCCCAGGGGTGACATCCCTGGGAGGGGTTTCACAATCACCGAGGCAGGAAATGGTTTGCGTCCCTCCCATCACCTGGCAAAGTAAATTATTTGATTTCTCTAAAGGTAGACGAGCTGACAGGCTCCAGGGCAGAGCAAACGGAGGAAGGTGAGCCCCTACCCTCCCACCCCAGCACTCCTCGAGTGCAATTCTTTCCACCGTAGTGATGGATAGATGGGCGATCCAAGGCATCCTTTCGGATTAAATGCCTGATTTGTTTATATATAAAAAACGTCTCCATTTGAGAAAAGGCACAAAGGAGCCAATTTGGACTCCAGCTGTGGGCACACTGAAGCACCCGGGCAACCTTGAGGTAAGAAAAGTCAGGGGATCGGGACCTTCCTTCAGACCCCTGAGCGGTTTTCTTCTCCTGTCATTGAATCAGAGCAGCGGGCGGGCGGTGGAATAATGGAATATAATAAAGGAGAAACAGGATGAATCAAATATGAGGCGGGGACGCGGCTGTGCCTGGCAGGAGTGGCTTCTGCATTTTGCGTGTGTGGTGTGAATTTCTGAATCAAAATCTTATCAGTCTGGGCAACAGGAAAGCAAGCAAGGAGAGCAGGGTGGAAAAATGGTGTGCAATATATATATATTTCTACCAATGGAGATTTCCACCTTGCATGCTTCTTTCTTTCTTTCTTTCTTTCTTTCTTTCTTTCTTTCTTTCTTTCTTTCTTTCTTTCTTTCTTTCTTTCTTTCTTTCTTTCTTTCTTTCTTTCTCTCTTTCTCTCTTTCTCTCTTTCTCTCTCTCCCCCCTCCCTCCCTCCCATGGGGTGTGTTTCCACTGGCAGCCAGCTGCCGAAAACAGCTGCCGGGGGTGACTTTTCGGCTGGCGGTATTGTCTGGGCTTGACCTCCACCACATTTCTGCCTCCAGTTCCTCTGGGGAGGTTTGGCTCCTCTTTCTTGTATTGCCCCCCCGGGGGGGGGGATATTTCGCTTGGGGGCCCCACATGGTCTTTCTTCTGGAGGCACACAGCCCAACCAACGTGCTCGAAACGTCCTTGGGGAATGATGATGATGATGATGATGATGTTCCAGAGCAGGGGAGTTCCAAGTCTAGAAATCTCCCGGTGGGATCACCCCCTGGCGACACCTTTTGAAGGGGGCTGCTTTTCTTGTCTGCAATGTGGAGCAAAGGGTCTACTTTCCAGGGGTGTCGTGACAAGATCACGCCTTCCTGTGGCGAACCTGCCTGCTCCTTAAGATCCACTGCCAGGATCCTCCCTTCGGAGCTGAGAAAGGGCCTGATCAAGTTGCATGGTGGAGGGGTGTGATGTTGCTTTTAACCTCAGGCAGCCAAATGTCTTGAGCAAGGCCTGAGTAGAAATGTGAACTACCCAGCAACAGGGCCTTCTCGGTGCTGGCACCCCCAAGTTCTGAAACCCCCTCTCCTCGGTGTATTCTATGTATCTTGTTATCTTTTGGTAGCCCTGTGCCATCAGCTCACCCCTCATTTTTGGAGATCCAATGAGCCAGCGATCCCCGAAATGTCCCATCCTCCATGGCCCGGCTCAGCTCATGCAAACTCAAGGCGGTGGCTTCCTTTATTGAATCAATCCATCTCATATTGGGGTCCTCCTCTTTTCCTGCTGCTTTCCGCCTTTCCCAGTATTTCTGCCTTTTCTTGCAGTGCTCAAAATAGGACAGACTCTGTTTCAACATGTTTGCCTCTAGAGAGCGTTCAGGCTTGATTTGATGTAGGACCCCCTTGTTTGTCTTTCTGGCAGCTGAGGGTAAACAAAGCTTTCCTTCACCACTACATTTTGAACCATTCCCCCCCCCCATCAGCTTTCTTCTCAGCCGACTCAGACATACATAGTAATCAGAAATGGCATATAGTCTCTATATGATCTGTTTATTTATCTGGCTCTGCTTGTCCTGCAACCAGTTGTTTTAACTCCAACCCACCTTGGAGGCCAATATTTCTTAGAAATATTTACTGTCATCAATAATCAAGGATGAAGGGTGATTTTCACTCTCAGTGTCTGACATGTAATTAATTGGATTTTTAAAACAGACAGACAAACTTTGAATGGACCCAGCCAGAGGTTGGGAGTTCAATTCCCCCCCCCACAGGGCGTCTTTGACAGGGGTTGGATTGGATGATCTTGAGGGTCCCATTTAAAAAAAAATACTTCTCAGCTCTATGGGACACGAGGAAGATATTTTTGAAGGCTGGTTGAATATTGAAGGCAGTTTCGCCTGGCGCACAACGTCCAGGGTGTTGAATTGCAACGCATACCGTCCTGAACCATATAGGGGCATCGTTTGGGTGGAGAGATTTCAAGTCTTCTTGTGGAGCCATTAAGAGAAAAGAGAGTGCATTCTTTTTTTTTAGCCCTGATAAACGTTCAGCTACATGCCTGGCAGGCAGGAAATTATGCCTGTCCAAAAACTCTGCTCCGCTCTTTAAATATTTCTCCCTAATCTTCAGGCACACTTAAGAGGCGTCAACCTTTGTACGGCAGAATTCCCTGAGGGTAAATGCAATTTCCAACGCAGTGACACATACCTTTGTGGTATTCACAAGGTGTTCCTTCCCCCCACCCCCTTCGCTGTGAATTCTGCCCAAACGCAGGCTTAATTTGGAGACTGAGCCAACAGTTAAAACGTATTAAAAGAATCAGATAAAAAGTGTATATAGACAACCTTCATTTAAACAGGTTCTTATCATTGATCTCAGAACTGCAGAGGTCCCTATAGATCACCCAGTCAAGAAGACGCCATGGGGAAAGCAAATTCTCAGCCTCTGGCTCCACAGCCCTGAGCTATCCATCAATTAGTTCTATAATAATAATTCATTATTATAATCTTAGAACTGCAGAGCTGGAAGGGACCCTATAAGATCATCTAGTCCAGCCCTGCCAAGGAGGTCCTGTCGGAAATTGAACTCCTAACCTCTGTGTCCAGATGCTGAAAGTGTGTCACAGAGATCACTCTGGCGAAGCTTTTTTTGGGGGGGGGGTCAGACATGCACAGTAACTCCTCTGAAGGACTCCTTGCCTGCTATTTTATAAACCCCCCAACCCATCCACCCACCCATGCTGGTTTTTAGCCTCTCCTGCTTCAGATTCTGGCCCTACTCACACCAGGCATGCGGGCTCTCCCTGGATCAATTCTTATCCCAGAACGCCACCCTCGAGCCCCAGAGAGCGCGATGAGCTGAAAGTGGTCCAGCACCTTTCAAGTTCGTACAAAATTCCGGAGGGGATCCCCCGCTCTCCGAGTTAATGGAGTCGCCAGCTTTTACAGCGGGATTCTTTTTCAAAATGTTACTCCCTCTAGTTTTTAGGCGGCGGCGGTGGGTCACACCTGGCATTTTCAGGGGGCTTCACTGATCCCAGGGAAAGGTGTGGTAAGCAAAACTGGCCACCCTCTTTAGCCTTTTGTGGGGCAAATTTGTGATGTGGAATGGGCCTGTGTATGCAGTGAGAAATACAGATCCTCAACCAGTCTTGGGGGCGGGAAGCAGACCCGTTCCTTAACCAAGATCTTTAAAGCCAGCCACGTCTCCTTTTTAAATTTATTTAACTCTCGTCCTCTATGGAAGAATAAGATGCCAGGGTTTCTCGGATAGGGCTCTGGCTTCCTTGGGCGATCTAGATCTGCCTGCAGATTTGGGTTAATTTTATACCTGTGAATGTGAAATCTATAAATTAGCCCTATGCACTAAATAAATTGAAATTTGTGTTGTGCTCTCCAGTTGTATCTGAGTTATGGGGAACCCTTCCTAGGGGTTTTCCTGCTGATGCTCTGAGGCAACCCCCCCCCCAGCACCTTGCCCAAGGCTGCATTGCAGGCAGTGGATCTGCCACCCTGGGACACTCTAGTTGATCTCTGATGGTCCTTCTCCCAGGAAGCAAGGTGGGGATTAAAATCCTCAGTTCCTCCCAGCTCAGCAACCCAGCCCTCCAACCCACTGAGCTATGCCAGTTCAGCCCTCTGCAAAAGTGAGGGTTTATTCGTTAACTCTCTGGGAGGAAATGTCCTTTCCTACGTCTGGCAGCCGCCCCCTCTCCCCAAATTGTAATCTTGGCATTTTTTTTCTCCTTTCGCCTTCCCTCCAAAGGTAAATAAAGGTGTTCTTAGATGAAATACATGCAGCCGTGTCGTTGGCTTGTGCGTCTCACTTTAGCCGAGCCTTCCAGGTGAGACATTTTTGTGCCAGCCAGAAAAGGTTTAAATCAAGGGTCTGCAGATGCGATCCTCAGCCAGTGAGACTGTTTCTGTGGTCCCGATCCCATTACACCCCAGGGGATGGGAAAGTGTCTTGTGGCCAAAGAGCCCGGGTTTCTTTTTCAAACTAATTTCAGGGGTCCCTGCAGCGTTCCGGACCAAAAATGAAATGTAATTTTTTTCCAAAACTGAAAATTTGTTTCTTTTTTAAAAAAAAATATTATTGCATTTTTGGGGTCCTCCCGGCAGCTTCCAGAGGATCTTAGACACAGATAATGGGTGCCTGCCTTATATTTTCATTTTCTGCTATGTTTTAATCAGGAGTTTTACTCCATATTTCATTACTGGTGGCTGTCTTGAGGGCTTTGTGTAATGCAATGCAATGAATGGAACTTCCATGTTCAGGAGCACCGTATCTGTGTGTCAATTGATAGGGGCCAAGAAACAGCAGTAAGCCATTTCCCCCCTAAATAAATGTGCAATAGGGTTGTGCTGTTAACCACACCACTTTCTGTTTACGCTGCAGCTTCTCTTATTCTTTAATCCTAGGCATAGCGGCGGAGGCTTTTAAGAAATGTCGATCACGGGACTGAAGAAACAACAGCCTAAAATGTTTAAAGTCAAAGTCACAACCATGGATGCGGAGATGGAGTTTAGCTGCGAGGTGAAGTTTGGGCTTTGAAAACCATAGGGGCCAAAAAAATCACATTGATGCTGGAACGGCCGATTCAGAGATGGGTCGTTCCATCTGCATTATTCTGCATTCAATACCCTATCCTGTCAAATCTTTTCCCCTACGTTGAAAACCAGTGTGATCAGGAGGAAGATCAGACTGAATCTTCCTCTGTCATTTTCCTCATCTGTTGATATAACACGAGGGAATCTTGAAGCCAAAAAAGAAATTTTAAAAAATCAGAGTTTGCGAAATGTAGTAAATTTCCAAAACAGGCTGCAGATGAGTGAGTTGTGAGTGGTTGCCCTTAGCATTCTGTGAAAAATTGGTTAGTTAAATCATTTGAGGCTGTGCGCTGTCTCTCTGCGTGAGTCTCTGTTCTAACTTTCCTTCTCTTTCATTGGCTTTTTAAAGGCAGCAGGTAACTTGTGCTGCAGTGCTTTTCCCATGGAGATTGGCAGGAAGAACTCTTCTTTCCAGAGTCTGACCATTGCTTCTCTGCATGAATGGCTACCGTTGGCTGTCTTCAGTCCCAGCAGGAGTCCAGTGACATACAGAGGCTCAACAGGCAGACACTCTCAAAGTAAATTGATCTCCTCTAGAAAAGGGAGATGTTTCCACCTTGTGTTTAATAAACAAGCTGGTGATATAAACTGGGTATTAATGATGGCATTGTCTGTGCCAGACACGACAGGAAACATTCATAAATAAATATGAAGGGAAGACCAGAGCGTGGTTCCTTCTTGTCAAGCCTCGCTTTTCGAAGCTGCCTTCGCTTCAGGATAAAAGGCTGCTAATTATTCATTCCAGGCAATCCGAAATTGTAGCCTTGAAGTTCTCTCTTCCTTTCCAACATGACACTTATCGGAAGGTTTATGTTTTTTTAAAAAAATTGTATAAAAGCTGCAGTGCAGACCTGGTGGTTTCCTGTGAAGATGGGAAAAATACCTCCTCAATGCAGGTCTGAAATTTCGAGCAAGGAACAGAAGCAGAGGCAGGAAACCATCACAGATTTGCCACAGTGAAAAACTGGCTAGGGTCAGCCGCGGTTGACACTGTTGTAAATGTTCTGCTGATTTGTATGTAGAGAAAGCCTGCTGGGTTAAGCCAGAAGTCTGTCTGATTCAGTGGCTTCTCTGCCCCATCTGACGGCTCTGGAAAGAGGACCACAGGACATGAAAAATAAAATTAAATTAAAGATAATTATCCCACTTCAATAGAAGCCCCTTATCTGCAGGATCACTATCAACTGATTTATTCATCCACAGTCTAAAACTATTAAAAATATTAAAAGAAAAATTTTAGAAATCTCTCTCTATATATATCTGAAGTTACCAGAACAGGCCACTAGAGAGGGAGACAATGCTATGCATAGCTGCTAGAATTGCTTTTGCTGTAATCTACGTTTTTCAGCATCTGCCAGGGGAATGGGGGGGGGGCTTGGAAATGACCCTCTGCGGATATGAGGTGGTGATGTCCCTACTGGACCACATGGCTCCCTTGCTAATTCTTCCCCTACCCACTGAAAAATTTTGTCCAGCCACCTCTGTGCTTTCTGAAACAAGGAGGGCTAGGGACTTGATATTTAAATGGGCTGTCTTTGCAAAGCTGGAACTCGAGAGGCGGAATTCTGTGCCCAGTTCTACAGGCGACACTTTTCCTGTACTTGCGCAGAAAGTAATTCTGTGAACCTGTCTTAAAGGACAAACCGAAGACACTGGGGTGGGGGGAAGAAGGCGTTATTTTCAAAACTGGAGTGCTGTCATTGTGATCCTTCTTTTTTATTTTTTAATCTCGCCGCAGATAAAATGGAAGGGGAAAGACCTGTTTGACCTGGTTTGCCGTGCCTTGGGCCTTCGAGAATTCTGGTTCTTTGGCTTGCAGTATCCGGTCAAAGGAATGGGCACTTGGTTGAAGATGGATAAAAAGGTGGGGAAGCCAGAGTTCCCTTCCCCCCACAAAAAAGGAAAGAAAGAAAGAAAGAAAAAAAAAAAGGATGATGGCTCTACCCTCTAAAGGAATATGAAGGCAGATCTATTCGTCCCCAACATCCTGATTCGTGCTTTCCCTCACGGCAGTTTCTGAAGCTCCTGGCCTTCTGTGGGTCCCTCTGTTATTTTATGGTAGAAACAACATTGATAACAGCTCCCCTCAAACCTGCGATGGGGGTCATTCGCCTTTAAAATAGGCCCTCCTCAGACATGGCTTAAATTCTCCTCCCCCTCCCATTTTTTCCCCGAAACTGAAAATAGACTTCCAGACAGATCAGGTCTCATTTGTGGGAAATTAGTCCCAATTCTATAAAAGTTGCCTTTCCACGATCTAGTATATCGTGGAAGCTCACGGCTGTGATTGGGAGCCAAACTCACCCATGCCTGTGTTTTAATGATCATCTTCCCCGCCACGCTGACTTCAGTTATTTTTCGTGATTGGCGTTTCCGTGTTACTCTTGGCTTGCTTTAATGGTTACCCCCGTCTCCTTCTTCCAGTCTTCTGGGGGGGAAGACACGCCTGCCACCTCTTTGTCCAAAATGACAGTCTTTATTTTTGCGGCAAGCGTTAAGGGATACCTGTCCGGGACCACTTTAAAAAAAAATCACACACATTGCGTTTATGAGTAAAAACCCCACTTCCTCGGGATGGGCCTCACCCTTGGATGGAGAGTGCAGGAAAAAAATCGTTCCCCCAAATTTCAGGCAGAAGTTTGTGCCGAGTCTGCTGGGATGAATTGAGTCCAGACTCAGGTGGCAAGATTAGCTGGGAAGGCGTCATCTCAGGTATTCCTCCTTTGTAAGCAGGGTGGGAATTTTTCGTCCCAAAATCCAAACAGAGGATTTGCTTAGAACTCCTTTGTGCCTGCCCAGACCTCACCATCCCATTGCTTGCTTCGGAAACATTAGTTTTCCTGCAGGCTTGGGGGTTATTTTTAGTTTGTTTTGATTTTTCTCTGCTTAGGCTGGAGATCCAGTCTCACACAACTCCCATTTTTGGTCCCCTCATCATCCTTAGCTTCTGTGAACCCAGACCTCACCATCCCATTGCTTGCTTCAGAAACATTAGTTTTCCTGCAGGCTGGGGCTTATTTTTTTAGTTTGTTTTCATTTTTCTCTGCTTGGGCTGGAGATCCAGTCTCACACAACTCCCGTTTTTGGTCCCCTCATCATCCTTAGCTTCCGTGAAGTCCTTCCTTCCTTCCTTCCTTCCTTCCTTCCTTCCTTCCTTCCTTCCTTCCTCTCCATCATCAGCTCCTTCCTTTCCTTTCCTTTCCTTTCCTTTCCTTTCTTTGAGAGCACCAGGGAAGCTGACAAGAGTCAGCCACCAAGCAATAGAAAGGAAGGCCAACTCGGAGGACCTTTCTCCTGGTCAGTTTCAGGGAATGGAGATGCACCTCAGGCTGCGCGAAAGCGGCAAGGTCAGAAAATGCCCTCCATTTCACCTGCAAACAGGGAAATCAGGGAAGGAAATTTCCCTTGGTGAAGACCGATGCAATCCTCTCCTTCCCCCCCCCCCGAAGGAAGGGTGGTTGAGCTTTCCAGTGAGGACTCTGTGACAATGGAGAAGTGGTCTGAGTCCTCTTCCCATCTGCCAGAGTCAACAGGGTGAAGACTCGGGATAAGGAATCTGTTGTCCAACCGCATCTGGAAGATCTTGCCTTCCTACAAGCGTAGGTTGTTAAAAGATGTGCGGGGATGGGGGACCCATTTCCAAATCTGCACCCCTCTAGGGAAGAAGAACTGGCTCCAGAGCTCAGGAGGTTGGAGGTGTGGAACTGTGGGAATCTCGGCCGCCCCGCTGAGCTGCTCCGCTTTCTCTCAAAAACAGGTTTTGGAACAGGACGTCCCCAAGGAAAACCCCGTCAGCTTTCGTTTCCTGGTCAAATTTTACCCTGAAAAAGTGGAAGAGGAACTTCTGCAGGAAATCACCCAGCACCTCTTCTTCCTCCAAGTAAGAAAGCATGGGTTTCATTTCATTTACCTTCGGGTAGTGTGGGCGGCATATAAGTTAAATAAATAAATAAATTTCACGCGGCCTTGGGAGTGGCCTTGTTGAATGCAGGGGTATTGTGCTTTTTGGCCATGAAGATCCAGGTCGAAACCAGACTGTTGTGGACCCATCAAATCCATAAGAATTTTATTGATTCAATGGGTCTACTCTAGATTAGCAGCTGGATGAAGGCTGGTTTTGAGTAACCATGGTTGAGCATCCCCCTTTACTTTTTTTGGGGGGGTCTTTAGTGATAACCCCTCCCTGCTTCCTTGCTATTTCTATTGCTTTTAATTCACTCTCCTGCTTTGGACCCAATCCACCCAGCTACCCACAAGGAGAACATGACATAAGCAGAAGTTTCTAGTCCTCATGGGTACTCAGAGAAGGCAGTGGTACCCTTCCTGATTTTCCTTGGGGTGGCTTCTGAGTGACCAGGGAAAAGAAATCTAAGCCAGAAAGAAGACTGACAGATTGGCTGCAAAGGTCGGTGGCTGGAATCCTATTGATGATTTATGCATGCATAAGTGAAATTGCATAATTTGCAGCAACTAATTGTACTAATTGATGAGGAGCCTGTTGGGCGACTGGACAACTGGCACAACATAAATTAGCAGCAATTCATCCCTTGTATGTTATTTCACTTATGCATGCTTGTATATCGTAAATAGGATTCTGGGCAGATTTGGGGTGTACTCAACCAATGAAGTACACCTCAAATCTATATTTCTTTAAGCATTGCTTTCCACATATCTTGTATTACAAAAGAAAAAAAAACCAAGGCTGTCTGGAATGTAAGGCTACCAGAACTATTTCGGTAGGTTTTTATGGATCAAAATCCACTTCTTTAGACACACGTTACAATCTATGACCTCGGATGTGTAAAGAAGTGGATTGTGGGGTTGTTGTGGCATAGAAGAAGCAAAGCGATATGTTGAGGGTTTTAGCTAGGGACCCTAAAAGTCAAAGAGATGGAGGGTTTTTCAAGTAGGGTACTGTGACCTAAATCCTGTTATGTAGCTACGCCTGCATAACACAAAGATGCAGAAGAGATAGGGGAGGAAAAAAAAATCACAGCAGGGTCAGGCTCAACCGTCACAAAACAAATCCTTTGATGAAGTGCAAAACCATGATCTGAATGCCCCAATCATGAATGAACTGGTCATGTAAACAGAGTGATCTATTGCCCGACCGTGACGTCAACCCTAATCTGAACCTCTCTAGTGATTGTGGAAGGCTCACTGCCTGCAGGCACAACTTTTTTGCAACATCTGCTTGAACAGGATTTCGGTATGATCACCCTGCCATATTTTCAGCTCCCTACAGCCTTGGCCATCATGAGAATGGGGCCTCTGGAGGACCTTAACATCTCTGTTTGACTCGGTGTGGGCCACTTCACGGCAGCTGACCTCACTCTTCTCCCTCCCCCCCGGACACTCTGGTGGCCACAAACACCCCCAATTAAGGGGGAAACAAATTAACGAGGAAGAAGCAGGAATAACTACATGTTTCCTTTTAGTTGAACCCCTAGCCAGCCCCAACTTTGAACATGGCACTCTTTTCCTGTTTCATTCTAAGAGTCAACATGCTAGATCTTTGGGTCCTTTTAAGGAGACAGGAGGGGCAAAAATATTTTAAGTAAAGAAATAAAAGAAATAGGAGGCGTTAATTTCCTTGTGCGTTTTTGCTTGTTTGTTTTGTTTTGTTTTTCAAGATCAGCTTGGCAATGATTGGCCTTGAGCTGTTTTGGAAAGAGAAGGTTCTCTTGAAAGCACTTTTAAAAAAGTGTTTTCCCCTTTCTTCTCTTGAACTCGCCTCGGCTTGTTTGGACTTTGAGGAATGTGATTCAGGGGAACGTTTCCCTCCCACCTCATTTCCAAAAGACAAGGGGAGGCGAAGCAAACCTTTTCAACCAGCAGGCAGTCCTGAACCAAAAGCCACACCTGCCACATACCTGTCTACAGGTGGGTGGCAGGACAAGTGCAGGCATTGGGACCTTCGATTCATGGGGTGGTATTCCAGCAGGCCCTTTCCTGCCTCTTCTATAATTATACAGTATTAGAATCCAACAAGGCTGCGTTAATTGCAGGACAGAAACTTTGAAGTTCACAGACCCCTCTAAAACAGGAGGTGCTCAGAACTCGGAGAAGCAGACAATTTTTTTTGTTGGTACATTTTTGTGGGGGTTTTTTTGCAACGATCTACCAGAATTCACTATTTTCTTCCCTTTCTTTTATGGTGGTGGTGGTGGGGTGAAAATATTTCAGACAAACAAACAAACAAATGCAACAAATGTATTCTTCCAGGCTCGGGGAGGGAGGGGGAAAAGGGACTTGTTTATGAATGGAAGGATGGATGGATGGATGGATGGATGGATGGATGGATGGATGGATGGATGGATGGAATTTCTATACCAGCCAACATTGGATAGTTTACAGAGGAAGCCTAAAAAGTGTAAGAATATTTGTCCCATCAACCCACCAAGGCTTTAATCACAACAGACAGAATAAAAAACTTAACCAAATCTAGGCTATTTTCTCCCCGTTGTTTTGACACTGTACGTGAAGCTGGAGTGCCCTCTCCAGAGCACGGAACCTGAGTAAAATAATATGGAGGATAGGCTGTTACCCAAGCAGCAAATCCCCCCCTCTCCATGTCACTGAAGTATGGTAGTCCCAATGGAAAGGCAAGAGCCAATACAACTGGTTCCAGTGATGTCGCAGAAGTTGCTAGACTGTGCAGAGTCACGAACTGCCTCCGGGACTCCGGCTCTGCATTTTGCCTCAAGGTTGACTCCTGAAGTCTCTTCCATCAGTGGATATAGCCACAAGGCAGTGGAGGTTTGAAATTGGAGTTTTTCTTCTCCTAGATGGGCTGTTTTCCATGGTTAACGAGCCCCACCTATCCGTTAACCAAACCAATGGTGGGCAAATGGTAGGACGACATGCAATATAGCGCATAGATGACGGCTCATGAACTAAGCTCAAGGGAGCTCATTGCGAAAAGACTCTCTCTATGGGTCTGTCTTCAACTGTTTCCTCAAAATTTGGAAGGGATGGGGCTTTGAGCTGGGGTGGGCTGGGTTGGGAGAAGGGATGCCTTAAATTTCAAGAAATTGTAGATTGATTTAATTTTTTTTAACTTTTGAAATTCTGGAACCCAAATGCTAGGCTGGGCTGGCTTAGTCCAGGAGTCCTTAGGCACCAGTTTTGTTAATACCCTGAATTCTGTGCTTGAAGAGGAGAAGGTTTAATGGTTCCTCAGCTCCTTCTGGGAATGTACTCAGTGGACAGCCTTGAAAAATGTCCCCCTTTCGGACTACAACTCCCAGAACTCCCAGCTAGGGCTCAGGCAGCCTATAGATTTGCAGATCATCCTTATCCCCTGGGAATCACAGTCCAAAAAGAGTAACGTTTTCAAATTCTGGCACGGAGTTGATTTAAGTCTTATTCTTGAGTTTTGAAGGCCGGCCTCTTGGTTTCCTACGCTTCTTTTATTTTTTCACTTGTAATTCAACTAACATTTACCTTTTGGACGCCAAGTCTAGTAAATGTCTGGGCATGTACTGCTTTGTTTGCACATTTTGGCTGAGTCCTGGCTCTTTCTTCCTTTCTTCCCCCCCCCCTTCCCCGTCCCTGCCTTAGGTTAAGAAACAAATACTGGATGAAGAAATTTTCTGCTCTCCTGAGGTGACCATTTTGTTGGCTTCTTACGCCGTTCAAGCCAAGGTGAGGCTTTTAAAACGGCTGTGTGGCTCTCTTTCATTTCTTCTTAATTTTTTAAAGCCATCTTGTTACTTCATGGAGCGTGTCGTAAAAGCTTTGCTGCAGAGTGGGGGGAAATGGGACATTCACAATTTTTTTTATGTATGGGATTAAAATATATATAAGCATAATAATAAATAATCTTTTGCCATCAAGTCAATTCTGACTCCTGGCAGCCCTTTCTAGGGTTTTCTAGATAAAGAACACTCAGATGTGGTTGACCGTTCCTTTTACCCTTCTGGGGAATCAAACACCTAACCATGCCATCTTCAGACTTCTGGACATGGAATCCCTTTGGTTTAAGCTGTTGATCAAAGCACCACAACTCTACAGTCCTAGGGAGCTCTGTGGAATCTCCGGGCCTCTTGAAATGGAGCCCCTTTGGTTTAAGCTGTTGACCAAAGCACCACAACTCTAAAGTCCCAGGGCACTCCATGGCATCTCCAGGCCTCTGGAAATGGAGCCCCTTTGGTTTAAGCGGTTGGCAAAAGCACCACAACCCTTGGAAATCATTTTGGCGAACTGACCTCCAGTTGTTCGGAGAAAATTAGAAAAAGCTTTATGGTCCTTCCATCAAACAGGGCACAAAGACGAGATACATTCTCGAGCCAAACTGGGGGAGCTGGTGTGGAGCCCTGAGTCCAATCACTCTTTTTTCTATGTCCTGATCTCCAGCTAGAGCCCCTACTTTACACTTCTGCTTTTCTGCAAAGCAACTGAAACATCATCCTCATCTTAAAACTTCAGAGCTGGAAGGGGGGTGCATGCACCAAAGCTAGGGTGAAACGGCTCACAGCCACATATACGTTTTGTGTGTATGCGTATCATTTTGTCTCTCCCATCTCCCGACCTTCCTCTCTTTCTCTCCTTTTTTCCATTTTATTCCAGTACGGGGACTATGACCCAAATCTGCACACGCCTGGCTTCCTGGTTCCTGAGGAATTCCTGCCCAAGAGGGTAAGGATTCGGCACCTTGCTTTTCTGAGAAAACAAAGCTGAGCCTGATCCAGACCAGGTGGAGGAGCCCGCAGGGTAAGGTCGGGAGGAGGTGGGCTGAGATTTTAGGACTGCAACACAGCAGGAAGAAACTAAGTCTAGTCCAGCCGTAGAAGGTCTTCATACTTCCGTTTTTTCCGTTTTTAGATATTAGATATTTTTCCCCCCAGTCCTTCGGCACAAAATGATACCGTGTTAAAGTAGTTGGATATACATGCGTAAAAGCAGGCCAATAAAATGTACAATATGAAAACACGACATTAAAATGAAGTGTAAATATTTATATGATAGGTGGAATAGGGACCTATTGACTCTAGAGCAGAAGAAGGAGGCTTGAAGGAGAGAGGATTGATTCTGTTGCCCAAGCCCCTGGCAATGGCGTAGCTGGTCCAGGAACCACAGAGCGGAAGCCCCAGGACTTTCTGAGCAACAGGGATGATGGCCTTTTCTGCGACTCTCCTTGGGAATCTCTCTTCCCTCTTGAGCTCCACATTGAACCTCTTCCCCATAGCTGTAAGTATATTGGGGAGGGGGGTAGACATAGTGCTGGCCAGCCGCTGGCTACCTGATGGGGTAGCTGGTAAATCTGGAAGAAGAGCTTGTGGGGGCAGCTGCTGTCGGGGAGTCCAAAAAGGGAATTCATTTTCATAGCACCAGGGGGAGAAATGTTGAACCTTCAGGAGCCGGTCTTTTGTCAAGCTAAGGACTCTTAATTGCCCATCCATGACTAAGCCAAAAATTGCCTTGCACATTAGCTCAGAAGGGGCCTTTAGGGGTTTTGCATGTGGTATAGTCCTGCCTCTACAGACTCCTCTGGAGGAAGAAGGACCAGGTAGAGGTTTCTTCCTTTGACCTCTGACACCTGACCCAGTAGAATTATTTATGATGGCCAGAAGCCGCATTTTGGATCGTTTTAGGTTGTTCTTCAACTGCCCCCAGGAAACAATGGCAGTCAAACTCTCAGTTTTCACCCTGGGCTTTCTTCTTCTTCTGTAGCAAAAGAAGAACCGCACCGACTTCCTGCTGGGCGTGGATGCCAAAGGGGTCCACGTTTACAGCATCAACAACCGCTTCTCTCCAGACAAGTCTTTTGAATGGAGCAGCATCCGGAACATTTCCTATAGTGAGAAAGAGGTATGGGGTGGGGGTGCAGGGGGAGGCACCCAAGGGCCCCCCCAACAGGTGGAAAGAGGATGGGTGGGTGTTTAGTGGATTTGCAAGCCACAGTATGTGGATCGGAAGCCAAGGGATGAATGCAAAATTCATAATGAACCATCGCTGGTCATGCTGAATGGCAGGTGATAAACCAGCTGGCAGGAAGCTCTTGAAAGGGATTTTTATTGGACTGGCTGAACAAGAATCGAGAGAGAGAGAAAGAGAGAGAGAAAGAGAGATGAAATAAAATAAAATATATACACATGCTTAATACCCATGTCAGTGGATTCAATACAAGCCAAGGTTTCTTAGGACATTACAAAATGTAAAATGTTGTCTTGTTTTCTGCTGTTCCCAGCTATATTTCCTTCCCAACTCATCATTGCACTTCACAATGGTGCCCTCTAGTTGCCGCCGCCCAGTAATTTCTTTTTAAAAAACTATCGTAAAAGACCTCTCACATCCTTTAGTATCTGCAAGGTGCAGTTCTTTGGAGTCTTCTTAAGCTGTTGTTTGTGGGCTGGACAGCTCAGTGGTTCCGGTATCTATCTGGCTGCAGACTCAGGGGTTGGGTTCGATTTCTCCCAGGGCCTCCTGGGAGAAGACCCAGCCTGGGTGGTCTTGGGGACAAAGCAACACAGTCCCAGGGATTCCCACCACCAATGAAGGGAAACCACTTCTGAGTATTTCTCTACCTGGAAAAACCCTGAAAAGGGTCCCCAGAAGTAAGAATTGACTTGACAGTGCACGACTATTATTAAATAACACTGAAAAATAGTTTACAACGAGCAAACTTTTAGAGTAGACTTTTAGCTGGGGGGGTGGGGGGGAGCAAGTTCTCATGCAGAAGCTCTGTTCTAATTTTGTTTATCATTGATTGTGGAGAAACAACGTGCAAGCTGTACAATGTGCAAGCTGTGCAAAAAACTCTGTGGTTGTGTGTGTGTGTGTGTGTGTGTAGGCGAGAGGATCACCACTCTGTCTTTCCACTCTCCCCAGCTCACCATCAAACCTATAGACAAGAAAGCCGAGGTCTTCAAATTCTTCTCCTCTCAGCCGAAAGTCAACAAACTGGTGAGAATTTCTGTTGTTGGAAGTTAGGCTTCCCTGAGGATGATGTTCTGCGGGTGCTATGGTAAATAATATTTTGGGTGTGTGTGTGTGTGTGGGGTTGCTGGATTGCCTGACTCTGAGCCCTCTAACCACTCCATCATACTGCCTGCCTTCGACATGCACTGCCTGTCATGGGGGGGGGAAGGACATTAGGCCTTTTTCACCTCTGGTTCAGAGAGGACTTTTCTCCCCCCCCTTGCAGATCATGCAGCTGTTTATCGGGAACCACGACTTGTTCATGAGAAGGCGGCGGGTGGATCCCATTGAGATCCAGCAGATGAAAGCTCAGGCTCGGGAAGAGAAAGCGCGAAAAAAGGCGAGTCTCGGAGAATGGATGGGGTGGGGGCATTCGTTTCAAAGGTACTTACAGAGTTTTGGGTCAAAACAGGATGTAGCCCAGCTGTTCATTTCCAATTATGATTTTCTTTTTAAATGTGGGAGGCTTAGGGGACGCTGTGACCCTCCAGCTGAAAAAGGCCACCCCAGAAAATAAATAAATAATGGCATAGCGTCTCAGCAGAAGATGGAGAAAACTCATAGGCTTTGCTGCCCCCCCAAAAGCTTTAATCTGCTCTTCTTCAGTTCCCTCTAGTGGCCAGCTCTGATATTGCAACTTGGATTATAATATAAAAACATGGAAGATAAAACCAAAGAGTATTTCTTTGGCCATTCAGGATGAGTCACGGAATAGCCTAGCAATGTCAAAAAGGCCTACCAAACAATTTCTTGTAAAATCAAAATGCTAGATATTGCAACTTGGAAATATTTATAAAAACATGGAAGATAAAACCAAAGAGTATTTCTTTGGCCATTCAGGATGAGTCACGGAATAGCCTAGCAATGTCAAAAAGGCCTACCAAAAGATTTCTTGTAAAATGTCCTCAAAATGCTACATTTCAGAGTAACTCAATGTTTCTTGTTACAGGGTAACTAATGTAGATGTTGTTGGTTACACTTAAGAAGCAATTTTGTTGCTCATTGCCCCTCAATGTAACTAGTTACAGATAACCCCATTACTTGTGGATAAATTACTTCCAATTTCGGGGGAGTAAAAATAGAACAAGAAGAGAATAAGTCACAGAGAATTTGATGCCACTTGATGGCAGCCAAAATCTGCAGCTGGAGATAGAGAGCGCATTCTGCCTCTTAGGGCCGGTCTGGTCCATCAGGTGGATCATGTCCTGAGCTCCTTGGAGGAACAACGGCAGACAGGTCTCGAAAATATAAATACACTGGTCAGCTTTTGAGGCCCAGTGTTTTAGGCTGCGTCATGAATAGGAGCACTGAATCCGTGGGGGATGTTCCAAAAAACCCCATGGATGCTGAAAAATGTGGATTATAGTAAATGCTATTATAGTACTGAATAGATAGCATGGTCTCAGGAAGTAACTTCCTTGTTAAAAATAGATTGTTTGGAGATTTTTCCGGCAACTTCATTGTTAAAAATATATATTTTGGGGATTTTTCTTGTAATATTTTAATAGCTTCAGGCCTTGGATGAGAGCATCAGCAGATACTGATCTCGTGGATAAGGGGGTCCTACTGTATTTCAAAACGTATCCGTCCCAAAGAGATGGGCCTTGAACTTTTGACATCAAAGAGAGATGAGCGATGTGACTTTTTGCCTCGGCAGCTTTCAGAGTCCTGGAATGCTGGTGGCATTTTGGAAGCTGCCTTTCTGAGCAAGCAGCCATTTTGGCCTCTCTTGAGAGATGCTGGGCTAAGTTCCAAAGCACTCTCGTGGGACATCCGTGTATGGCTGTGGTTGATGGTGGGATGTGCCACTTTTCCAGATGGAGCACCAGCGGCTGGCCAGGGAGAAGCAGCTGCGAGAAGAAGCTGAGCAGGCCAAGGAGGAACTGGAACGGCGCCTCCTTGAGGTGGAAGACAAAGCCCGGCAAGCTAACGAAGCTTTGGTGAGCCTTGCCTCGGGATCACCGGGGGGGGGGCTGGGGAGTGAACGAGGCCCAGCTTGCCAGGTCAGCGGAGTCCGGCTGAGAGCTACAGGCCAACCATCTCTGGAGGAGGTCCGTTCTTGACCCTGCAGGCCAAGGAGGAACTGGAACGGCGCCTCCTTGAGGTGGAAGACAAAGCCCGGCAAGCTAACGAAGCTTTGGTGAGCCTTGCCTCGGGATCACCGGGGGGGGGGCTGGGGAGTGAACGAGGCCCAGCTTGCCAGGTCAGCGGAGTCCGGCTGAGAGCTACAGGCCAACCATCTCTGGAGGAGGTCCGTTCTTGACCCTTCTCTTGCTATCTTCTCTTCCCTGCTCCCAAAAAAAAAACCCCATTACAGTGGGGTCTTGACTTGAGAACTTAATCCGTATTGGAAGGCAGTTCTCAAGTCAAAACGTTCTCAGGTCAAATCTGCATTTCCCATAGGAAAGCATTGAAAACCATTTGATCCGTATCTGCTCTTTTCCGTCCGTAGAAACTAATGGGAAGCTGCTATTCTGCCTTCGACCACTAGAGGGGGATATTTTGTTTCTTTTTTTCTTAGGTCAAGAAAGGTTCAGGGAAGGCAGGGAAAATACAGTCCAGGCAGTACCAGGCAGTCTGAAGACTGTCTCCCAATCCACTCTCTAAACGCTGGGAGGAGTGAGGAAGCAGACAGGCACCCTTTTCACTGGCCAACAGTTAACTGAAAGTTCACATTTTGCACTTTCCCTGCCTCCCACGTGGGTGTTTTTTAGTTCTTAACTCAAATCTAAGTACTTAAGTCAAGTCAATATTTTCCTATGAGAGCGGTTCTTAAGTCAAAATGTTCTTAACTCAAGCCGTTCTTAAGTCAAGACCCCACTGTACTTCTTTCTTCCCCTCCCACCCCAGCTCCGCTCGGAGGCGGCGGCCGAGCTGCTGGCCGAGAAGGCCCAGATCGCCACGGAAGAAGCCAAACTCCTGGCCCAGAGTGCGGCCGAGGCCGAGCAGGAGCGCCAGCGGCTGGAGCTGGCCGCCTTGAAGACGGAGGAGGAGAAGCGTCTGATGGAGCACAAGGTGCGGGAGGCGGAGTTGATCGCCATGAAGCTGGTGAAGGAATCCGACCGAAGGTGAAGCCCCCGGGGACGGAGGGAGGGGGCCCCAGTGGGCTGGCCAAGGGCTCCTCTCTTCGACACAGTCTGGGGAACTCCCTTTTTGAGGATGATTACTCCCCTCCGCGGCCCAGCCGAGGGAGAGGTCACCGAGAAAACTTAACTTGACCAAGACCCAATTCCAGCAAGAATTTTGTCTTCAAGATTTTATTTTTAAAGTGAGGTGTGTGTCTCATGACCTCTGCAAATTACAGTAGGACCACTCACGGGATGGGGATCGTGTTATCCAGTTATCCAGTCTGAAAATATTAAAAGTTATCAAGTCTGAAAATATTAAAAGAAAAAAAAAGCTAGAAATATATGGTATATTTCCACAATGTATTTATCAAAGCTGACCACTAGGGGGAGCCAGAGACTGTGCTATTAATACCTCTTAGTGAAGAATGCATAGCATGCTCTCTGTCCCTCTAGTGACCACTTCTGGTAATGCATGTGAAAATATTTGTCTCCCCCCACCCACCTTTTACCATCTCTCTTGCTCTCTAGAGAGAGAGATCACTAGTTTGCTATTATCTGCAATTTTTAGTATCCAAGCAGGGCTTGGAAACGATCCTAATGGATATGGGGGGTCCGACTGTATGCTCCCGAGTAAACAGCTGCCAAGATTATAGGTATCCTGATTTTACTTTACGGTTACTGCTACACAACAAAGCCCACAGAGCTTTCCTGCAGGGAAAGATGCTTGGGCATGCTTCCGCGCCGTAAAGCCACCACATTCGTCACTACGTTTTGCCAGAGGTGCAATCTCAGAGGGTGAAAAGTGATCCCACCCCCTGAAGCCAAAGTGGGGCCAGGGGCAGCTTGGCTTCCCCCAAACTCAAAGCAGCTGCCCGCCGAAAATAAGGCATTGTACTTTTGCCATCCCGAACCCAGCGCCCACCCCGGGTTGCTCTCCTCTGATAGGGCCAAGGAAGCCGAACATTTGAAACAGGACCTGCAGGAGGCCAGAGAGGCAGAAGAAAAAGCCAGACAGAAACTCCGAGATGCCAGCAAACTGAATCACTCTCTTGTAAGTTTCTTTTTCCATAGGAGTGGCGAGGCAGGGCAGTGTAACGGTAAAGGGGCCAGCCCAGCGCGGGGGAAATCCACATTCAGCGAGGCCCCTTCCAGATGTGGAACTCATTGGCGGGGAGCTTGGGCCCGTCCCAATCTCTCAGCCTGACCTACCTCACAGGGTTGGTTTTGAGGAGAGAGAGAGACATGCATGTAAATAATACACACCCATGTGAAATGAATGTAAATAACCGTCCTTTCTGAGTCTGCACCCTTTCCAAATAGTTTCTAAACCCGCCTTCCTGTTTCTGCTCCTCCCAGGGTCCCTCTAAATATCCCCCCGTCTTCTCCCCCGACCCCTGTGGGGCTGACAAAGGACCCATAAAGCTGGATTTACGGGATATCGACCTGAAGAGGCTTTCCCTGGAAATTGAGCGAGAAAGGTACGAACTCTGCTCCTCTGGCTGAAATAACCAGAAGTCTAGACTGGCATCGCTCTGAAAATGTCCCAGTTTTCTTCTGTGGGGAGCTGGCCTCTTCAGCTTGTGCAAACGCAGGCAAAAGCATAAACACGGAACATGAAGCGCATCCAATTTCTCATATTTTGAATAACGGAAGGTGCTCTCGCTCTTCCTAAGTGCGGAGTACAGTATTAGCTATGCTAAATGTTGAATCTATGCATGTAAGCATAGATGCATAGAATCTATGCCTGGAAATGTGACCCAGCAAGCTACCTCCATAGCTAATGTTATTTGGGGAACGGTTGCTGTCTAACTGGTGTAAGTGTGTGTGGTGGTCTCCAACCCTATGGAGGATTTGGGATGCACCCTCCCCATAAGCCCCACTGCCTTGCAGGTGGCGCACATCGGAGGGAGGGCGGCCCACAGGTTGCCTCTGAACATTGCAAGGAGAAATCTCACCTCGGGAATTCGCACACAGCTCCGATGTTTCCGTTTGCTCTGTTTCGCCATCTCCCCCCCAGATTAGATTACCTGGACAAGAGCCGGAAGTTCGAGGATCGGCTCCAGGAACTCAAATCCGAAATCCACGCCCTGAAAGTCGAAGAGAAACAGGCCGGGTTCTTCTCCCACTGGAGCGAAGTCCTGCGAACCTTGGACCGGCCATCGGGGAATCCGTGCAAGGTTTCAACGCTAGCTGAGCATTTTTTTTTCCTGTTCTTAATTGGCGCTGCTTATAGAAGGCCTGTGCAGGATGCGACCACAAGAGCCCAATCTGGCGGCTGCTTCTGAATGCCGATCCAGAGGGCCGCAGAGGCAAACACTTTTCTTTGGCTATGCCTCCGTCCGCCGTATGGGCTCCGTAATATCAGGAATGGGCCATGTCTGCCTTCCATAGGGTTTCTGGACTCCAACTCCCATGGTTCCTGACACCTGGCTATGTTCACCAGGCCTGAACCCCTAGATTCAAATAGCAAGAAAGGAGAGTCCTAAACTTTAGGAAAAACATTTTGATGGTGGCGTTGATGACCTCAGTGGGCTCCACTTTCTTCTTGCTATTTGCCATCATGTAGTTTGCAATATGTGGCAAGTGTATGAATTAATGATCCTGACCTTGACTGCTCTGCTCAGGTCTTGCAAACTAATGGTCAAGGCGCCCTTTGTGAGTCTGTCCATCTCACTTTAGGTCTTCCTCTTTTCCTGCTGCCTTCCCCCAGCATTGTCTTTTCCAGCGGACCTGGCTTTCTCCTGAGATGTCTGGGGTGTGACAGCCTCGGTTTCATCATTCTAGCTTCCAGAGGGAATTTGGGCTTGCATCTTGCTTCCAGTTCCCGTTTCAAACGAGTCCGGCAGCCTTCTGTCTATCTGGGCACCCTTAGTCATATTTCTCTGCCCTGGCAGCAAGTCTCGAATATCTGGAGAACCGCAGCTTGCCCAGCCCTGACCAAGCAGACACAGCCTGATTTTGCGAGAAGCTCCTGTGAACAGCTAATAATTTGGATTTTTCCCCCTTCCCAAGGCTTCTTGGTGGATGAGGGCGCTGGAAGCAGACCTGTTCCAAAGCCTGCCCCAGCCTTTCCTAGCCTGCCCGCTCAACGTGACCAACTGCACTGCGCCCAGAATGTCGTCATTTCAGACGGATCCCCAGGGGACAGGAACCAGAAAGCACATCAAGGTAACTGGGCTAGATGATTTTCTATAGCCTTTGATTTAAAGGGTGCCCGTTTGCCAGGCACTCTCCTGCACTGGTTGTGACACCAACATCCACGTTCCAAAGTGACTGGATGGTCCTTTCTCTCCCAATTAGGTTCAGCAACACAAAACGGACGTGATCTATATTTGAAACCCTGCTGGAGGACCTCAGCCATCACGCAATGAATTATGAAGGCAAAGATCCCGGAAATATCGTGCCCGCTGATCTTTTGTGCAACCCTTGGTATTCCCCTCGTTGGTTTCTGGGAGATGCTCCTTACGGGACCGGACTGACTTGATCCACCTGAGCGGAAAGCCGGATCGGTTCCATCTCGCCATTTAACTTAACCACCTGGAGGTAGCAAAAAACGGTGTTTCTGTGTTAAGGGAACAGGTGTCACCTTAACAACGCGTATGCTCAAGGAGAATCGGAAAAGATTCAAAGTCTTGTTGGGGCAATTCAGCTCATGTGAGCAATTCTATGAACGTTATTTTGGAGTAAACCCTTCTGAGCCCAGGAGATACGAGGAGTATCGAGGAGATACGCCAAGAATCGAGCTGCAACTCCCAATAAAGTCATTTTTAAAGAAGAACTTGCTCTAAGTTCTACTAAAAACAAGGCTATCCTGATGAATTAACTGGAACGAGGCTCTGTGGATCTAAGAATCTGTATAAAGATGAATGTTCATAAATACCAGGACTAATATTGGTAAAGATTTCTGGAGCTAAATAAGACAGGGTCTTATATTAATTTTTACTCCAAAAAACAAATTAGGGCTTATTTTCAGGGGATGTTTTTTTTCCCAGATACAGCTATCTGCATTTATTCAAATGCAGTCATGTCATCTTCTTCTGGTTGCTGCACAAGGGTGGAGGGTGGAGTTTCACTTAACAGGGGCTTATTTTTGGGTTAGGGCTTATATGATGAGCATCCTGAAAAATTATACTATGACATTTTCAGGTTAGGTCTTATTTTCAGGGAAACAGTACAATTATAAATACTGTATTATTTTTTAAAAAGTACATAAAAACACACACGATTGGACAAAGGAAAAAATCTAAATTGCCAAAAGGCGCTAGTCTCTCGAAGAGATTTCGACCAACTGCATCTTGCGCATCTGTAACCCAACAGGCTTTCACTTCAGAAATGGTTCTTTGCCACCTCTGGGACCAGAGCGGACCCATGTTTTTGCAAACGATTAACATGGCCCTACTCTTAGGTAAGGGCGCAGGATAAGCCACTGTGTCAGAAGAGTCCAGGGGGCGCAGTGTTGTTATGCGCCCTCGTGTTGCATCTGAATTAGGGAGAACCTCACTGCGTTCTCACGGCATGTGAAATATTTAAGGAGTATATGACAGGATGTAGTATGCCAGAACAATAGGAACACCCCTCTCAAGCAAGCATCTCGCCTCTCCACTAAACAATTTATTGTGTTTTTCTAGTATATGGCTATGTCAGACAAACTTTGCAGTTTCACAGAGTGTAACAATTCAACACTATATTACTTGCCAAAAAAAAAAAAAAAAAAAAAAAAAGGCAAGAGAGGAAATATGAACAAGGCTACTTTTAATGACAGCGTCTCAAGACCTTACAATTGACATTTCTTAAAACCAAAGGAAAAAAAGGATTTTCCCTTCTGCCAGTCTGATTCTTTAATCAGCAAATAACACCATGGGAGAAATTCATTAACAAGGCTGAGGAAAAACTAGGCCTGGCTGTTCCTTTCAAAGTGTTCTTAGTCTAAAAATTATTACACTCAGGGCTTTTTCTGTGAGCCAGTTTCCCTGACAGGATGACGCCTTTTCTCTTCCTGTGGCTGCTGTGTTTCTTGGCCGTATTCCAGAGGCCAAGTGGCCTGTGGGAACCACCTCAAAGTCCACGCCCTGCCTCCCTGCGCTGTCTTTTAAGGTTGATCCCCTCTGATCCTAGACCCAGAGGCCAGGTGGCTTAGCCAGGAAAATAAAAGTTGGACCATAGGCAGGGGATGTGTAGGGTTTTCTGTCCTAGCTCATCAGGGCCGTCTCCTTGAATAGCATCGCATGGCTGAGTTTGCTTTTCTAGGCCACCTTCAGCCCACTGGAATGGAGGGGGGGGGGACACCCCTGACCAAATGCTGCTATGGGCTGATGATCAGAAGCATGCTTGACTTTCACAGGAGGCTCACCTAGTCAGGCCCGCTCTGTGTTTTTCCCACTGTCACCATTTCTTCTGATCAAGATTTCTACATCCTCACCCAGGCCCCAGAACAGGGTGTCTTTCTTGGCAGAGCGGCTGCAACGGGTGCCTGGCGGCGGAGTTTTTAAAATCCAGAATGTAGGCAATGATTTATATTGTTGAGAGCTAGAGGAGAACAGTGGTGATGCCTAGAAGAGGCTTGGCAGCTGGCCCAATTTAAAGATTAAAAAATTACAGATATTCTACAGCATTATGCCAGCAGGGAAATGCAGGGGTGTTACCCAAATGTCCCGTCTCCCCCCCAGATGGGCTCCCCTTTGTGTCACACCAATTTTGAGGTTGGTTGTGGAATGGGGTGTGTGTGTGTGTTGGGGCAAGGGAACACTTCTAGAATCATCCTTTCATCTTGCATAGAATACTAGCCAGCATCACTTTGGGACCCCAAGCTCACTTAGTGTTGAATATTTGTAGAGGCTCAAGGTCCAGCAGCTTTCAAAGAGGCCATGGCTAACCTGCCTGCCATCTTTACCACATCACTCACGCAGCGTAGCGTACAGCACAACCCAACCCACCCAGATCCTAAGGAGGGCAAGGTTCTTTTGAGCACGGTCAGCCTGACAATCAACTGGTCCTCATCCATTTGGTTTTATTCCCAAACCAAACCGCACGTCAGTACAATAAACAGGAAAATGACCCAGCCAAGATGAGGTGCCATGTGAGTCATGAACCCCACTGGCTCTTGGGAGAAGCCGGAAAACACTGTGCAATAAATATGGATTTTTATATTAAGTAACTATAAACATTTTCTTCCCCCCAAATAAATCACCCGTACAACCCTTCCTGCATTCCGTGCCAGGTCAGTGCTTATAAAGTTCACCCACAGAAAAGAATGGGGAGCCAGATCCCAAGCTAGGGCGTCGGTGGCAGGATCCCTGAGTCCCAAGTCTTGCTAGAGAGGGAAACGCCAAGGAGCTCCCCAATGCCCAGAGATGCCCCGATCCAGTGGTTTTTCAGCTGGACCCCCTAGCCCTAGCTGTCCCTGGGCTACCATGTGATCAAGGAAAGGCCATCCCATTATTCCACCGTATGGTCCTTCCCAACAAACAACCTGCAGGTCTCCAACATGTCCTCGCTGCCGAAACACAGGGCCTCACCCTACTGGCCGCCACCACCCTCGGAATGCAGTTTGGCACTTTGCACATCAAACCCAGTTGCCAAGCACCCCCCCCCAACAAAACATGGCTAGTGTGGCACTGGAATCAAAGCAGCAGGGGGGGGAGGAAGGCGAGGGGGCCGAGGTGGGCCTGCTAATGTGCCTCCAATTACTGTTAGCCACCAAAGCTGGGGGGAGGGGAAGTGGGGAATAATACCCAAAGAAAACTTCAAAGCCAACTGTAAGGTCAGTAAACCATCATGAAACAAGAAACCCAGAAAAAAAAGGCGAGAGGAAATATGAACAAGAGAAGGCTACTTTTAATGCCAGCGTCTCAAGACAAGAACCTTGCAGTTGACATTTCTTAAAACCAAAGGAAAAAGGGTTTTCCCTTCTGTCAGTGTGATTCTTTAATCAGCAAACAACACAACGGGGAGAAATTCCTTAACAAGGCTGGGGAAAAACTAGGCTTGGCGGTTCCTTTCAAAGTGTTCTTAGTCTGAAAATCATTACACTCGGGGCTTTTTCCGTGAGCCAGCTTCCCTGATAGGACGATGCCTTTTCCCTTCCTGTGGCTGCTGTACCACCCCCCTTCTGTGTCACCGACACTGAAGTTTTGTGTGGTACAAGGAAATGTGGTCCTGGATTCCCTGTCCACCGATCTCCCTGGAAGAAACCAAGGGAGAAACGGCAAAGTGTGCTGCTTATATACCACCCCATAATGCTTCAAGCACTCTCTGGCGGTTTACAATTATGCAGGCTACATCTTCCTCCTTTCCCCATCTTGCCCAGCATTTAAATCTATTTCGTGCTCCCTTAGCTCTCTTGGCTGTAAACCCAAAGGTTTTTTCCTCATCTACTCTTTGATTGATTAGACTACCCTCTTCTGGACTGTCTTCCAAAATATCTTGGCTAATCGTCCTACATCTCAGTCCAGCAGCCACCTTCAGCCCACTGGAATGGAGGGGGACACACCAGTGGGCTGATGATCAGAAGCATGCCTAACCTTCACAGGGGGCTCACCTGGTCAGGCCCGCTCCGTGTTTTTCCCGCTGCCACATTTCTTCTGATCAGGATCTCTACATCCTCACCCAGGCCCTAGAACAGGGTGTCTTTCACGGCAGAGCAGCTGCAACGGGTGCCTGGTGGCGGGTTTTTTAAAATCCAGAATGCAGGCAACGATTTATATTGTTGAGAGCTAGAGGAAAACAGCGGCGATGCCTAGAAGAGGCTTGGCAGCCGGCCCAATTTAAAGATTAAAAAATTACAGATATTCTACAGCATTATGCAAGCAGGGAAATGCGGGGGTGTTAAATGTCCCATATCTCCCCCCAGATGGGCTCCCCTTTGTGTGTCTGACTTCACACCAGTTTTGAGGTTGGTTGTGGAATGGGGTGTGTGTGTGTGTCGGGGCAAGGGAACACTTCCAGAATCATCCTTTCATCTTGCGTAGAATACTAGCCAGCATCACTTTCGGACCCCAAGCTCACTTAGTGTTGAGTATTTGTAGAGGCTCAAGGTCCAGCAGCCTTTAAAGAGGCCATGGCTAACCCGCTGGCCATCTTTACAGAACCAAATCACTCACGCTTTCAAGCGTACAGCAATTCTTTCCAGTGTTCTTAACTAGTGATTTGCAGAAAAATCTTGAGCCATTCTAAATGAGCCAAGGATTGGCGTGAGGAGATTATTCTCAGCCACCCTGAATCAATGCATAGTCCCCAGAATTAAAAATATCACACTAAAAGAAAAGGCCTGGGGCCTGAGCACAATGGGAGGACTGAGCGTAATGGAGCAAGGATACTCTTGGGAGAAGCCGGAAAACACTGTGCAATAAATATGGATTTTTATATTAAGTAACTATAAACATTTTCTTCCCCCCAAATAAATCACCCGTACAACCCTTCCTGCATTCCGTGCCAGGTCAGTGCTTATAAAGTTCACCCACAGAAAAGAATGGGGAGCCAGATCCCAAGCTAGGGCGTCGGTGGCAGGATCCCTGAGTCCCAAGTCTTGCTAGAGAGGGAAACGCCAAGGAGCTCCCCAATGCCCAGAGATGCCCCGATCCAGTGGTTTTTCAGCTGGACCCCCTAGCCCTAGCTGTCCCTGGGCTACCATGTGATCAAGGAAAGGCCATCCCATTATTCCACCGTATGGTCCTTCCCAACAAACAACCTGCAGGTCTCCAACATGTCCTCGCTGCCGAAACACAGGGCCTCACCCGACTGGCCGCCACCACCCTCGGAAGGCAGTTTGGCACTTTGCACATCAAACCCAGTTGCCAAGCACCCCCCCCCCAAAAAAATGGCTAGCGCGGCACTGAAATCAAAGCAGCAGAGAGGGGGAGAGGAAGGCGAGGGGTCGAGGTGGGCATGCTAAAGTGCCTCCAATTACTGTCACCCACCAAAGTTGGGGGGGGAGGGAAGTGGGGAATAATACCCAAAGAAAACTTCAAAGCCAACTGGAAAAGAGCAAACGTCAACCCACGCAAGAAGGCTTCATTTAATATGGGTCCTGGTGGGGGCGGCCCTCCCCCTATTCCAGCCGCTCGTCCCCTTCTTCCACATCCTTCAGGCTGAGCACCTCCAGAGTCCCCTTGCCTCTGGTTTCGCACCGGATCAGCTCGTCCATCTCCCGGAAGCAGCCCGGATCGACAAGACACACCTGCAATACCCACAGAATGGAAAGGTCACGTCTCAAGAACAGCTGCCGTGGCTGGATAGACAATGGGTGGGTGGATGGGTCCCACCAAGCTCATCATCACCTGGCCTTCCACACAGGCTGACTGGGATATCTCCGAGAAAGCCACCCACGGGGCGTGAAGGTGGCTGCCGTCTCTTGCCCTTGGTGCAGCACCAATTGCGGTTCAGAAGTGCACTGCTTTTGGCCATAGAGGTTCCCGCAGCCTCCGACAGATTTTTTTACATATTGGCTGAGCGCCCTTTCCACCCCCCCTTCTGTGTCACTGACATTGAAGTTTTCTGTGGTACAAGGAAATGTGGTCCTAGATTCCCTGTCCACCGAGCTCCCTGGGAGAAACCAAGGGAGAAAAAGCAAAGCGTGCTTCAAGCACTCTCTGGGCGGTTTACAAGTTAGCTACATCTTCCTCCTTTCCCCATCGTGCCCAGCATTTAAATCTATCTCGTGCTCCCTTAGCTCTCTTGGCTATAAACCCAAAGGTTTCTGCCTCACCTACTCTTTGATTGATTACAGGAGGGAACAGACAGGTAGCTGATGCACTAAGGAGGGAGGAGCCAGGCAGCACACAAGAGGCCCCATCTCAGTCCGGCGGTCGCATTCCTGATGACACATGCCCGGGCTAGGGCAGCCAGCACAGGAACTGCAACCTGACGCAACGAGAGTGTCCACATTAGAGAGCACCTAGTTAAGGTTTCCAATCTGCACCAGCTAAAATTCCCTTCCTTTGCTTCTGGCTTCCATCACAGCAAAGCTTCAACTCTGCAGGGATGTGAGAGTGTGCATGGTGGGAGCACACACAATCCTGATGTTTTGTTTTAAAAAATCATCTATCCTTCCTCGCTCAGTTCAGGCTCAGAAACACCCCATTTCCATCCCCGGCTTCCAGATCGATCCCTCTTGTCCCTCCACGTAGCATCAGAACCAACCTGCCTTTCTTTCTCTCTTTAAAATGTATCCGCCTCTGTACAGGATCATAAACACTCCCCCTTTATGATAAAACAGTCCTGCTGTCTCTGTGTTGGCTCCTGCCTTTAAGACAAACCAGGTCTACTCGGGAGTAAGACATGCCAGCTTCTGTGTGTGTTACTCGTAAGTTCTGCTAAGAAGTTCCCTACCTTCAGCTGTTGCTTTTCAGAGACATTTGCCCTACTCTTTGTGTATGCTCAGCAGTCCGTCCCAGTCTTCACATTACATCCCTCCTGCACTCTGTGTAGGCTCAGAAACCAGCCTCCTTTTAAGCTGTACTAGCACTCTGTGGAGGTGCGCAGGCTTTAAAGATATTCCCGCCTCGCATGCTGTGTAGGCATACCCTCCTTCTTCCTGATATATCAACTCCTGCATAGGCTCAGAAACTCTGTGTCCTTAGCCTTGTTTTTCAGCTAGATCAGCTCCTGCACTCTGGGTTGGCTCAGGAGCCCTCTTCCTTTCTGACAGATCAGCTCCTGCACTCTGTAGGCTCAGGGGCCCTCCTTCTTTCTGACAGATCAGCTCCGGCACTCTCTGTAGGCTCAGGGGCCCTCCTATCAGCTCCGGCACTCTGTGTAGGCTCAGAAACCCCTCCCGCT